ATGGGTAGGAATATGATAAGGGTGACCACTAGGTATTCCTTGAACTTTATTTTTGCAACTTCGAATCTATCTTATGCCTGGTAATACGGAACGGCTTTGGTAACGTTGGAATACGCTAGCAGTAATATGCAAACTATTGATATAGCAAATAGAGAAAATATGAATGCAAGGACTATAATTCTATACTTGTCTGAGTCCATAATGGAACGTTGGCCTGTGATTGGCTCTTTTGCTGAATCTATTCTCATACTTCTGATAATAATAAATCTTCGTTGACTCTAATGTTGAAACTAAGTTTCTTTAATGTGAATTTAATATATTCGGGTAGGTAAGGAATGAATTAGGATTTCGTGAATGGTATACTTAGATTAAAATATATTTCGACATGCACAATTAAAATAATGTGAGTAACAAAATAAAATAAAATAAAAAAAAATGAGATAACATCTCCGGTTGACCTTCGTCGTTATATCGCTCATTGGCGTATCGATTGCACATGCGTATTCTTTTTTAAGGGTTGTCAAACAAACAAACATATATATGAAAGTTACATGGAAAAATAAATCATAGATAATAATATACGCGCACGGAACTCGCTTATTGGTCCGTCGCCTGTTTCTGGCTCATGTGGCCAAAGTTGACCGCGTCGTCCTCGGTGTCCCCCGGTTGACCGGCTTCTCCCTGTCGACGCGCCTCGCCGATACCAGCGGGCTGTGCGGTCGGATGACCTTGTTCCTGTGCCTCGCCGTGTCCAGCGGGCTGAGTTTCGCTTGGCTGACCTTGACCGAAGCGTATGGAGATTATGTCTTCAATAGGCGAGAGGATCTGAGTGCTGGCAACACTCTTGAAACTACAGTCTTCCGCGCCTTCTATGTTCTCAACCCCCTGATTGGCCGGTTCCCCTGGTTCGGTCGACGGCTCCGCCATGCCTCGCGCTACTTCGGACGCCTGGGCTGCCGTGATTGGCTGGCACTCTCCGCCGCTTCGCTCAGGAGTCGACTCTGGAATCGGTGGTGCAGCCATCGATTTCATCCTCCTCGGCAAATCCTTGATGAGTATTTTACTCGACACGGATTTCTTGATCTGGTCGACTCTGGTTGGTAGTTGTTGTTTGTCGTCGAATCCGCTCGAGTGTTCGTCTTCCTTGGAAGTTTGTTTTATCTTGATTCTGGCCTTCTCCGCTGATTTTCTAGTCTTCTGCTTCTTCGTTGGCGGTTTTAATTGTATCGACGACTTTACCATCGGTTTGTTGGGCTTCTTCGCGCTGTCTTTGCCTTTGGTTTCGCTGCCTTTCTTGCGTTTTTTTCCACCTCCGGTTTGCTGGTACGCCATTGGCTGTTGATCGAGGTAAGATTCTCCTCAACGACCCCATCTCTCCCGTCGGTAGGACTATCAGTTGCGGTAGTTCTTGTTGTTGTAATTGCTGTGGTATCAACGATTGTTGCGGCAAGATCATCGTTTTCTGCATCGGTGTCTCGCTCGGCTGTTTCGTCTCTTTGGCCTCTTCGATTGGCTTAAACTTAGTTGTCGCCTCTTCGCGCGCCCTGATCGTCGTTTCCGCCGTGCCTCGTATTATCGTGGTTTTAATTTCGTAAGAAAATGATCTCACGTCACTTTGGTGTCTCAGGTCTCTGATGACGTATATTGCCTTGACGTCGGCCACTGGGTTTCCTTCACTGTCGTTTACGCGATATTTCCCTACGTCGAAGACGTTTCGGCCGCGTGCTTCCTCGCACTGTTTCATTATACTCAACGATCTTCTTTGAGCCGCGATTTCCTCACGATCGTACTCTTTGTCGTCGCTTTCCACCGCTGATAGCTCTCTCTCGAAGTCGTCCATGGCCTTTAGTCTATTTCTTCTCACGTCAAGCATTTTCTTCTGCTGGGTATAACCTCGCACTTTCTTCTGCAAGTTTTCCTCCCATCTGTCTAACCTTTTTTGTTCTCGATCAATTTTATTTCGATCCGTCTTGTCTCGATCCATCTTGTCGTTGATTTCACGAACTTGACTGTGTATCACTTTCGCTCGTCCGACTTGAGCTAACGAGTGTCCGTTCACTACGGCTGCTCGATCAAATCTGCCGTTATGGCGCTCGTCACGCAGTGTGTCGCGCACCCGCGTTAAAGTTGCTTCACATCCGTCGCTCGCTGCGACTTCTATCTCGCCGTTGATTGGCTCGCATATCCAATGTCCCGGATTGCTTCTAAATTTCACGTTGTAACTCATTATATTCAATCTTTCCTGTTCGGAAAATACTATTTTGCTTGGATCTCGCATGTCCATGAATAATTCTTCTTCTAGTTCGCTGTTATACGATCTGCTCGATCCTCCTGACGATACAATCGTTCTTTCTCCGTCGCTGTTGTAATTTTCGTTTTCTTCCGGTTGATTATTATCGTTTTCGTCATTTCGACTATGTCCATCGGATGAATCGTTGTCCTCTAGATTCTTATTTGCATTTTCGCGTTGTTGATTGTCGTTGTTGACATTGTCGCCGTTAAATCTCCTGTTGATTATTTCTTGAATCTGATTGAAACAATTTGCGATTTCTCGCTCTTCTCCTTCGCTTAAGCTGCTCTCACTTAACATAATTTCGTCCGGTGACTCTAATTAGTCATCTTTGTTTTCGGTGTTTTCGTTTTCCGAATTGATATCCTCCTCTTCGTTTTCTGTTTCAGAATCAGTCAATCGACTGCAGGATGCTAAGTAAAACTTCTCCGCCATTAGCGATTTGACTTTTGTCGCGGATTTCGCAACGTACGCTGGCTTCGAGTTTTCTCGTTCCACCGCTCCTTCTCCTCGGCATTCTTCAGCTCGGTATTCGTTATCTTGTTCAATGAAACCTACCGTATTCTTTTTAATTATCTCCATTACTTGCTTTTTCCTTCTTTTCCATCTATCGTATTCTTCCTCGTCATCTGATTCGTTACTGGAATCCTTGTAATAATCTTTCAATCTTTTCCATTTTTCATATTTGTCATCACTTTCCAGATTTTTGCTGGAATCCTCTGCTGCTGTTCTGCTCCTCAGTTAAGTATCTTCTTTGTTTTTATTCTTTGATTTTAATCTTTTCTTTTTATGTTTTAGGTCGTCTTGGTTTCCCGGATCGTCGCTGGAATCTTCATCTCCGCTCCTCAGGTAAGTACGAACCCTCTTGATGTGTATGAAGGAGACATCTTTCTCAATGAAAGGCTCCCCCACTTCTTCTCTCTTGATTACACTTATTTTATCACTAATTTCTCTCTCCATTTCAGCTATTCGTTCTTCAATGTTGTCCTCATCGGATTGTCTAAGTTTTTCTTCCTTAGGTAGTTTATCACGCTTCTCGGCGCTCTTCTCGGCATTTTCGCCTATCTCCTCCTTAATTGGCTGGTTATCCATTTTTGGCCTATTAGCCAGTTTGATTTGCTCCTCGGCATTTCTCGTTGTGTTTGTTTGTCTCGAGGTGTTCTCCTCGGCAATTTCTTCCTTAATCTCATTTTTGATATCTTCCTGTGATGTACTCGGTTGACAAATATACTTCTCCTTGGTATCTTCAAGTTGCTCCTCGGTATTTTCGATTTTTATCCTCGCCTCTATCGACTGACGAGTTTTTAGCTTCGCTCCTTCTGATTGTTCATTTTTTTTCTTCTCGGCTGTCTTCGTTGTTGACTCACCGGTTGGTTGATTAGTTTTACTTTGCTTTTCGGCAGAATTGTGTTGCTTCTCGGCAAGATTTTCATTGTTGTTTATATTTATCGTATCGAAACGTTCATCGTACTCCTCGGCTGTCTGGGTTATTATCGTCTAATCGCAGTCCGAGTCGGCATCGTCTTCTTCCGATGACGTTAACTCGCGCATCATAATCACGCAAACTTGTAATTCGTCATCTTGACTATCGTAATCTTCTGAATCTTCGCGTTGTGAATTATAATCTTCGTTGGTCGAATCATCATCTTCCTGATGTGAATTTTCAATTTCGCTATGCGAATTGTTACTTTCCCCGTCGCTATTATCTTGGTCCTCTCTTAGGATCGGTCTTCTGCCGTGAGTTTGGGATCGGATGCTAGATCATCCTACCCATCGTCGAGCCTGGACCATACCAGCGGAGGTTCCTGCCAACCGATCGGCGAGCCCGAGGCGAGAGGCATGGAGGACTTAACCGCGGAGACAACCGTCGACCAAATCAACAAGGAGCCGGACGAGCTTGACGACTGCAGCTTTGAGAGCCTGGCGTCAACGCAGATCTTAGAGTCGATTCCGGAGGCTGTGGCGCAAGCCATAATAATATCCGAAGGGATAGTACAGCCCGCTGGACGAGGCGAGGCTTTCCAACCAGTGATACAGCCCGCTGGACAGAGCGAGGCTTTCCAGAGACTCATGCAGCCCGCTGGACGAAGCGAGGCACCAGGGGACGACGTCGGGCATCCACGCGAGGCCGAAAGAGCAGCGGAGGAGGCGCCGATTCCCAGCAGCCAACCGCGTACGCAGGAACATTAATTGTATCCGCGCGGCGCCTACTTTGATATATATTTTATGTGTGTGTTCTTTTTATTATTTTATTTCATTTTGATCGATAGCTTTAAAAGAGTCATTCATATTTGACGTTTCATAGAGTTTTTTAACAGTTTATGCAGCAAGTGCAATTGATAGATTTTACTTTGATTTATATAGAGTCATTACGTTTGACGAATAGCATGTAAGGCATGATAACACCCAGTATTACGATTGAAAAAGACACTCAGTCGAAGAACAAGGCTTACCATATCCTTAATGACATATCCCAACTATCCTACACATTCCCAGGAGTAGAGACTTAGAT